GTTGAATCTGTCAGTTAAGTAATTATTTTACTAATTACATATTGAATGGTTCTTTTAATGATACAATTGTTTATTTATACTTACAAATATATCCGACAGTTAACTTTAATGTACAATGTACCCTACCAGAATTACGAATGGCTGCAGAATAAAGTACCTAAGATATGAGTACGATTCCAAAAAAAAGCATGAAGAGATACCAAAATACGAAGCATACAGTAAGTGATATTTGGTAGCCGGGAAAGTTAATTCCCGGCTAGCCGGGAAAGTTACTTCCCGGCTAGCCAGGAAGTGAAGTAAGCAATAAGTCGTTTCCCGATTGTTTTGAAGGGTTTAAATGCACATATTACTAACCGATTGTGAATAAATAAATGTTAATTCTTGAAAAACAAAGAAAATCAAGATATCATTCTGGATTTTAAAACCAGATATCTAGTCAAAGCATCGGTTAACGCTTGTTGGAGGAATAATGAAAATAATTTGACAAATAGTTTGTTTTTATTTAATTTGAATCATAATTTTTGCTAATATCTTGTAATTTGTTTTCTTTACATTACAGCTTGTATTTGTTCGATACATTTTACAAAGGATACCTCTGAAATACCTTTGCAACAGAGGTTATTAACTGCTAGGGTTGCCAACTCTGTGAATCAGAAATCCGGGAGAGAAAAGAAAAACAAAAAATAGTAAAGTGTTACAAATAATTGCAATAACTAAAGATTATTCTTAATTATGAAATTTTACAATATTTTTGACCCGATATTTTTTTTTTGTAAAGCTGTATTTTTTTACACCGCAAGCAGCTAGAAATACTTTTTCAGTATCGATAAAATCATAAAACTCTTTACATATGTATTTGAAATTTATGCACACTTTTATTTCAGATTTGACATGAGTTGCATTAAGATGATTATGACTTTTTGACCAGTTCAATATCTACGCTGAAAACACGCTCGGCATAGGTAGAGCGCATTAAATAAATTTTTTATTTCTGCTGATTCATACACACATTTTTCAAAAAAATTAACCCAAACGCGCCTACTTTAGTTTTATGCAATTATAGGCATTTTGAGAGAAGAACTCTTTTAATTCAACCCACTCAATTTTATTATTCATAGTTTAAAGATCCGGGAGATTTTAGGTACATTCCTGGAGCCGGGAGATTTTGAAAATGAAATGCATTTTTCCGGAAGAATTCCGGAATTTCGGGAGAGTTGGCAACCCTTTTGACTACTTTTCTAAAATTGAAAGAAATTTAAAACGAACTGCAGTTTCTACAGATAATCCCCTAGTAAAAAGAGACATTTCTGCAGATAGAATATGAGAATAGGTTAACAAAGCAAGAAAAGAGCTATCGACAAACTTTTATTGATACTTCGAGACAATATTTATAAATATTGTGGGATCTAACATGGATACTTGAGGGTATTTTTATTCTTAATTATGAATAATAGAGTTGTGAATTTTCTGTCAGCAAATGAACCAATTGTAAACAGATATTTAAAAAAAATAATAAATACATAAGTAATCCATTGACATATTTATGTAGTTTCGAATTAGATATAATTATTTTGACACTTCCTATCAAAACAAATTTTTATTGATTTTTTTTTTAAATTGTACAGTCTAATTAATTTCTTGTTGTTTTTTTATAATTAATTTTACATTCTCGTGAAAATTAATGTTTGATTACTAATTTGTATTCATAATGGTTGAAAGAATTTCTAATTATTACCACCTGACAATTTAACTTAAAATAATCATTGCTCTTAAATTGTATATAACATAACGCACCAAAAAAATATCTCAAACTTGGAAAATGCTCTGGGTTGGATTTTTAAATGTAAATTTATAAATATAGGTACTGTTAGTTTAAATAAATGTTTCTGCACTATTACCCTTTACATATTATTGTTTTGTATTATTATACTTTTCACAGTATTCTGGGAATTTCGAGAAATCAAAATTTTTAATATTTATCCAAATTTAAAAATGTTTGTACCAAAATCCTTTACATCAAATTTTAAAAATGTCACTTTTTTGACCGCACAATAAGTTAAAAATAATTTCAGTTTTGAAATTTTTAAGAAAGATCAAGCTCTATAAGGGAGCAAAGCCTATTGTTTTGACTAAAATCTGATTAAAAATGGGGGGTAAAGAGGAGTTGAAATAAAAAAATTATAAATTAAAAACGAAAAACAATTAAATTTTAAATTTTTAGGAAAAATCAAGCTCTATAAAATGGGGACAAAGCAATTTATTTTGAAAAGTCTGAAGGAGGTTGAAATTTAAAAAACGAAAAACGATATCAACATTAAATTTTTAGTAAAAATCAAGTTTTTTAAGGGGATGAAGCATATTGATTCTTATTAAAAATCTGAATAAAAATAGGAAAGGTTGAGGGAGATTGAAGTATTAAAATAGATTCAGGAAATCAAGCTCTATAAGAGGATGAAGTCTATCTGAAAAAAATTAATTAAAAATATGAGTAAAAGGTCAAGGTCTGTTAAACTGTGAAGTGTATAATATAGATAGAAACACATTATATATCTTTATTCTAGTAAATGATGTATTTAATCATATCTTTTAAATGTTTCTGTTCTTTATCTTTTATTGTATATATTTGAGATGCCTTATGATATAATCTTGTGTACAAAAAAGGCCAATGAATTACTTTACATTAGAATTATTTGATCCTGGCCCCAGCTCAGTTCCTTGAGATAGTGTAAACGTTACTGTCTTGGACTTTTGGAATCAGTTCTAAAACGTTACCTCTTCACCGTAACTTGTCTAGTTTTAATAGTATTCTATAGCAAACGGTATCAAACGCCCTAGAGGGATCAAGAAATATGCAAAAAGTAGGAAGAAGCTTCTATATAAATATATTATTAAATTTTATTTTGATGTAATTGATTGATTTGTCCTTTGTTTGTTTTAGGACTTTTGTTAGTATTTCTTCTAGAATTGTTTAATACATTTTGATATTAAAGTAATTTGTCTATAACTAACCATATCAAATTTAGATAAATTTTTGTAAATAGTCTAAGTATATAGCACTAGTTTTCAAAATTTTGGGAAAATACACTTCTTTAAAGTTTTATTTATTAAATGCGTTAGTGGTAGACAGATGTCTTTTAAGGTTTTTGATTTATTATTGTCTTCATCTTCAGTTTTTTTATAGCTTTTCAACCTAAATAAAATTACTTGAATGTAAATATATGGAATTTTTTCAGTATAATTTGGTGTTTTTATTTTATTACCGTAATATTTTCCTTTAATTTAATTTTAGGTTTTTTCTGATTATGATTTTTATACATTGCCATACTCAGTGATTTAGAAATTTTTTTTTATTTCTTTTATCAATTTAGCATATTTTTTATTTGCATTTAAAGATTTTTATTTAAATTATATTGATTGAGTATTATTAGGATCTGTTTGTGTTTTTGTATATATTTTATATTTTTGCTTGATTAATTTAATTATGCTTACCTAATCGATAATTTTTTGTTTGTTTTGTAATAGTTTTATTTTCTGTAATTTTTAAAATAAAATGTTCTGCCATTATGTCTAAACCGTTTTGGTCATGTCTAGTTTTGAGCTCTTTTCGCTTATGAAAAACTAAGCATACGTACTTGTAGGTATCCTCATTGTAAATAAAAAATATTAGTTCCATATCTTGTACAAATGGCATATTTTTATTTAAAAAAAAATGATTGTTCGTATTATTCATTTGCACAAGATTAGAAACTTATATTTTGTGTTTACAATAGCAATACGTACAAGTCCCTATGCTCAGTTTGTAAACAAAAAATCTTATTTCCATATCTTGTACAAATTAATAATAATGACACAATTCATTTTTTTAAATAAAAATATGTCACAAAATTGTGAAACTAAAGCTCAAAGATGCTACTTTTACGTCTTACATTGTTGCCAAGTTGCACAAAATGTCTGCTATTCAATTATTTTGTATCAAAAGTACAGCAATTCATTTTTAACAATTTTTCTTGTCCTAACAATATTTTATAACTATTGACGTTGTCTTATCCACCCAGCACCCCTATTTATTCCCTTTCCCGTAAAATTTTTAAAATGAATGGACAAATGGCTATTTTTTATTTAAAAAAAAATATATTTGTGTCCTTACGTTTGCAGAAAATATGGGACTTTGGTTATTTGTTTTTAATCTCGTTTTTAATAGCAATACCTACAAGAACATACCTATGCTTAATTTTTTCGTAATCGAAAAGAGCTCAAACTAGACTTTTACTCATTTTGTAGATCTATTTTTATTTTTTCATAATTTAAATAATATAATGAATATTAACGAATAAATGATGTTTACTGATTGAGCGCGTTATTCTAATAAACATTCTAATGTTTTGATATTCTTCTGCAAAATCCGATTCAGATAAAATTAATATATTAATTACATGTACAGCTTTATTGAAATGGATAGGTATCGGTTAAATCCCAGGTTAAAATTGTTTAAACATTTATTTGGGGATCCATAAGTTGGAATAAGTGTAAAAAATCCATTACTTAGGTATTTAGGTAGGTACCTACCTACTTTACATTATTAGGAAACTATTTTGTAACTATCAATTTTTATAAAACTGAGCAGGATTTTTTAATCATTATATTTTTGCTGAAATATCCTTTTTGAGTAAAATTTTAATAATTTTACATTATTTTTATTTAAATTTGACTTTGTAAAAATCGGTGTAACTATTTCCCAAACAACATTCGGTAACTATATATACCTACCGTTACCAACTGGGATTTCGAACACAGCAAGAACTTGTAAGCGGTTAAAGATAGGACACAAGGGGGTAGTAACATCTCACAAGACCGATGTAGGAATAACAGCGCAGGATCAGTAGCAAGTATGTAACCAGTAGCAGTAACAGTAGCAGGAGAGTAAGTATATCAGCAGGAGAGAGTCGGGCTAGAGCAAATAAATCTTTTTGGGGCGCTTTAATGGTTTATGGTGGTTGTACCTGAGTATTCGGCGATGGTCGGAAGCCAAACTGGGACATGTTTGTCCCAGTCGATGTAGCACTCACTGAGTCGTCGCTAACTGTGTAGGAAGCATGGTTTTAAGCACAATTCACACACGCACGTATTTATATTTAATATGTTTAGCACTGTCGGTCACAAAGGCACGTGGGTTATCGAAAATTCGTCAAATACAGTTAAAAGCGTAAACGCGGTTGCACCAGGTGATATAATTGCGGTCGCAGTAGGCACAGTAGTCGGCCTTACACTCTTTTCTGGCCGCCCGATTTTTGCGAATCGGCCCAGTGGGAGGGGCAGAGTAGGGGATACACCGTAGTAGCAGTTATATCGGTTGTGAGAGAGAGGAGGGGAGATGCCCTCTTCTGCGGTCAGAGCTAGAGTCCTGTTTTTGCCACTGACAGAACGCGACTACTAGATGTCACGGAATTCTTTTATAACGGGCGCGACAAATTTGTCGCGTTCGAGAACACACACCGGGAACACAAGCAGGCGCAGTAGTCGCCCGTAGTCGCGATCCGCGATAAAAAATTGTCCGTCTACGCGAGCGAGAGAAATAAGTGGCGGGGTGGGCTTCGCTTTTCTCCTGGGGACTGTGTGTCGCCGCGTTTCTGAGATGGGAATTTTTAGCGCGGCCTCTCCCCTCCGACGGACCGATTGATCCACCACCACTAAAAATGCGCCCCTACTTCTTTTCGGCTGCCCCACCCGCGCGACGCATTTTTCCCCTGGCGGAGGGCGAACCTGGCGGAAAAGGCTCGGGCCCCGCCCCTACGTCTCGCCCAATGGGGCCGCGTGATGGATATGCAGCGTGTACACAGCTAACCGCGTACGGGTGTTGTTCGGCTGTTCGGTTGTTCGCACCTCGCAGACACGGCCTGGCCCGCCGTACTCGGTCCGCCACTTTTATTACGACTCTCTCTCTATTTTACGCTTGGATTTCTTTCGCTCTCCTTTGCTCTGCTTCGATGTATACACGCTGTATGTCGTTCCTTATTCTAAGCAGTGGCGCGGCCATACGGGGAGGGTCATAAACCCCTCTCGATTTCTTCCGAACTAAAAAATACGACAAAGATAATACAGTAGCGAATATAAATTTATCAAATACTGTTAAATTAATTTGAGAATATACTGAGCTTCCGCAAGATATTACGATCGTACCTTCGGCTGGAATATTGTAAAGTGGTTGACGGAACCAGTGGCAGCTCGTGACCAAAATTTTAGAGCAATGACACAATATAAATTTAGGTTAAGTGTTTTAAAGAGGTGTATTATAAACACTGAAAAGTTTTTACTTAAATCTGTCTTGAGATCTATATTTTGTCATTGTGAACACCCAATATTTGGATGACGAGCCGCCGCCACTGGCCGGAATCATCAGGAAATGCAATTTGCACGGATTTAGTTTAAATACCCTGCAAATTTACAATAACTGCACAAAATAAATAAACAATATTACGACTTTTTTAATATTTTTCAAAAAAGATTGCCCTTGATCAGGAATTTAACCACGGTCGCGAACTACAAATTTGATTGCAAACTGAATGCGTGACTAGCTGATCTACAAGGGCGCAGATAAGGGGGGCAATGGGGGTAATTACCCCCCAAGCCATAGTCGACATCAATATTTTTTTAAACGTTATATTAAACAAAAATAGAGAGATAAAATAAATACAATAATATTCTAAAACATTAATAATTAAAATTTATATACAGGGTCCCCCCATTAGTTCACAATTATTCAATATTTCAATTTGTGTTATTGACAAGCAAACAATTTTAAAAAGAAAATGAGAAAATCGTGACCCCTGATTTTGAAACACCCTATATACAACATAGCAAATAAATGAAGTCTATTAAAGTTGTTTGACGATGTGAAAACAAATATAAAAATGTATAAGTTTGGTCAGCCTCTCGTTTATGGACCACCCTATATATTTAAGAATATTTATTAAACATGGTCATACAACTTTTATATTAATTTGTTTTTCCTATTTCCAATAATAAAACTGCTATCGATCAATTACGCACTATTGAGACATGTTGGTATCGTTGGATAGGTAAATTTATAAGGCATTTTATGCCAAGATAATATACAGTGTGTTGCATTTGACAAAATTGAGTAAATTGAACTTAAAATTAGCCATATTTAAGACATGTTTCAAAACAGTCTGCATAAAATAAATCAGTTCTATCACCTCGGAAATGGAATAGTCTACAAAGATCAACCAGAAGTCCCTTTTTTGTATGACAAATGGCGTGAGAAATATTTATTAATCGTCAATGTGTTATGGTAATTTATTGAAATAGTTTGTTAACTAATAATAACGATTACCTGTCATACACATATTTTTAAGTTAAAGTCTTTAATGTAAGGGAAGATATTTAGAAAATATGTATTTATGAAATTTACTTTAGAATGAAAACTGGGACGTTAATAGGAAAATTATATTTAGCTTTTCTTTATAATTGATTAAGATCTACAAATCCCCAAAATTACGGTACTTTATTCTAAAACACCCTGTATAAATATATATAAAATTAAAAACTTTATTATAAAACTCACTCTTTTTTCTGGAAATACACATATAAACTCTAGACATTGCATTGGTACCATATTCTAAGATAACACGCTGGGCATTCACCAATAATGTAAAAAGTGCTGAGCTATATGTCAAGTAATTTATTGAAACAAAATATATGTATTATAGTGGTTTAAAACTAAATCCTTGTAAATGACAATTCCTGATAGTACCGTTAACCATCACAAAATTCCAGCCAGAGGTACGATCGTACCACTTTGCGACGGTTAGTTCTTATATTCTATAAAACACAATTTAAGTAGATAAATACTTACAACCAATCGCACATACCATGGAAGTCATTCTTAGTCTCACTTTCATTGATATTCACTTTTTTTAAACTTACTATGAGTCAAACTCTGTGACAGACTTTAAATCTTAGCGGTTACAGTCCATGTATTGTAATGGTTCCACCCAGGAAGGTTATAACATTCCAATATTCTAAAGCACTTAGGATTATGGCTTCTATGGCTTCATACAAAAATAAAAAAATAAAACTAATTAAGGATAATAAAATAAGTTTTGATTCGAAATAATAATTTTTCCGATCTTTTTCTTCCTGCTCTCTCCCTGCTCCAACTCCTGCTTTTCGATACCTCCTGTCACCTGTGCTAACTCCTGCCTTTTATGTGACCCCTGTTATCCTGCCTCCTGTTCTCCTACTTGTCTATACCTCTGTCTGCATCTTTGTTCTTGATTTCTGTTTCCTGATTTGTCTCCTAATTTGTCCTGCGTCTCGGTCTTTTAATTTTTAAATATTATTTTTTAATAAAATCCTTTTTATACCTTTTTAACTTTATTTAACTTCTACACTATTTTAACAATCTTTTTATAATCTTATAAATTTTAATTCCTAACCGACAATCTAAAATGCCCCTGACAAATTAAAATATCCCTGATTATTGTCTTCAAAAAACTGAAATATCCATCCCAACATCACAGGCGTTACAGCTCTATGACCTTAACGAATAATTTTTCGACGCCAACAATATTAAAAGTCAAATGAGATGATACCTAATCATAACAATATATTTAAATAAATACGACGTGGCAACTTCTTCTAAAGAAAAAAATGAATATTTTTTGTAAATATTGTGTATTTTTTACAAAAACATCTACCAAACTTACAGTCTCAGACAATAAATTCTGATTTTACATTTAAGAATTGTTTAATATTAGAATTATTGTTTCATTTTGTTTAGAATTTGTTTTATTTTTTGAAAGTATCTGTTTTATTTTTTTAAAGTATCTGTTTATATTTTTTGAATTAATTAAATGCCATTTATTTTTTGGTAATTTCTAGCAAAAACTGAGTATTTTATTTGTAAGATATTACCGATAGCTACGTTCACCATGTTAAACAACCAGCGACGTACACCTGAAAACTTTGTGGGGTACCGAAATTTGTGCTATGATATAATCGCTGACTGTGGGCAGCAGTGCCCCCTCCTTATCATCAAAAACAAATTTCTCTATTTATTTTTTTTTTTTTAATTTCAAATATAATTCTTTATTTCTCGGGATTCCTAGGCTAACATACTGTACACCAGTGCTCCGCAACCGGTGTGCCGCGGCACACTGGTGTGCCGTAAGCCGACTTGAGGTGTGCCGCTCTTGCAGACAATACGAATCAGATTCGTATTGTAGCGAGACCCGCGAAAAATAAAGCAATCTGACAACAGCGCCGATGGTAAACGTCTATCCGTCTATCGGCGCGGCGCGGCGGCTTGATTCTCGAAGGCGACTAAACTAGAAAGATCCGTGCCGTTCGAGGCGCGACTCGATGTTTTCCTGAACATCGCCACTGCCTATATAAGCGCGCCTGTCGTCGCTCAGAGACTCAGAGAGAGTCGAATAGTCAAGTGAATCAGATAAATACGCGGGCAAACAAATAAATCGTAGAGTGAAATAAATAGTGAATTGCTATATAAATAAATTCTTGTGCCTTATAAATAAGTGAACTGGACTAAGTTTTGTTGCAGTATCTACTTTTATAAATAACTATAGTGCTTCAAATATGGATAAATTTTTGCTGAAATCACGAGCAGATGACGAAGAACCTAGCACAAGCTCCAGCATAAGTGCTGCAAAAAGAGCAAAAAAGGTGCTGAAAAGGAAGTACAATCAAGACTACCTTCGATATGGTTTCACTTGGTGTGGCGACGAAGCGGCTCCAAAGCCTGAATGCGTCATTTGCGGTGAACAGTTGTCAAATGAAGCAATGGTACCCAGCAAACTAAACCGTCATTTGATCACAAATCATCCCAGTTGCGTCAAAAAAGACATTCAATTTTTCCAACGGCGCTTGGATCAAAATAAGAAACAAAAGCAGTTTATGAAATCGGCGGTTACGGTTTCTGAAAAGGCATTAGAAGCAAGCTACCTTGTTGCAAAATTAATTGCACAACAAAAAAAACCGCACACTATCGGTGAAACGCTTATTAAACCAGCATGCATGGAAATTGTTAGACTTATGCTTGGGCCAAACGAAGTTAAGGACGTGAGTAAAGTTTCTTTGTCGGCCGATACTGTTAAAAGACGTATCCAAGATATGTCAAGTGATATTTTGGGAACACTAATTAAAAAAATCATTTCGGCTGGAATTTTTGCGCTTCAAATCGACGAATCAACCGATATTAAAAATAAAGCACAACTGATGGCTATTGTACGTTTCGTTGACGAGGACTCTATTAAAGAACATTATTTATTTTGTAAGGAGGTTCCAGAGAGAACTACCGGTGAACAAATTTTCCAAGTAACTGATAATTTTTTTAAAATACATAATATTCAGTGGACCAATTGCGTTGCTATTTGTACAGATGGTGCTGCTGCAATGATGGGCAGTAAGAAAGGTTTTGTATCTTGTGTAAAACAAAAAAATCCGTCAATACAAATTACACATTGCTGCATACATCGAGAAGCATTGATGGTCAAAAATTTGCCCGAACAGCTTTCGATCACATTGAATGAATGTATTAAGATCATAAACATAATTAAATCGAGAGCCTTAAATTCGCGAATCTTTGGAATACTCTGTGAAGAAATGGGAATCGAACATGAATCCTTACTGTTTTATACAGAAGTTCGTTGGTTATCCCGGGGAAAAGTTTTAGCTCGACTGTTTGAACTTCGCTACGAAGTGCGTGAGTTTCTTTCAAGTCAAGATATGTACGATCTATGCCAGCACCTTCATGATGAATACTGGATAGCCAAACTTGCATACATGGCGGATATATTCGAACATCTGAATGAACTTAAT